GAAGAATAGAAGAAAGGGTATGTGATAGGTAGGGTTTTAGTTGGGGGGGTGTTAGGGGAGGATGGGAGGGAAAAGGGAACTGGGATTGTCATGTAATTCAATCTTGTTTCTAATTCAAATAAAAAATGATAAAGAAAGAAAGAAAGAAAGAAAGAAAGAAAGAAAGAAAGAAAGAAAGAAAGAAAGAAAGAAAGGCATCTGGGTGTTTTGTGAGATGGTGGTTACAGGACAGCATCTGCTCTGGCCCTCGAAGAATTCTTTGTCCCTAGGTCTACTCCTCTGATACACATAGGGTGGGAGGCTTTTGTGTCTTTTCCTTGAAGGTCAAGTTCAAACTGGCCTTTGCATATCTCTGTTAAGTGCTAATTTTGCAAGTGAGAAAAGTAGCAAGGGCTAAGAATACAAATACATCCACACCTTTGAGTCAGAAAGCAATTTATACAAAGACAAGCTTCACTTACGGTCCCTCGAGCAGCCAGCAAATTCACAGCCATTTCCTTTCTTGGTTTTCCTGCCAAAGGACAGCTGAGTGCTGACAAAGTATGCCTGGAAAGAGAAAATGGTGCAATAAGGAATTCTGGTACCAAGGGAAGGCTTAGAGCAAGGAAAACAAAACCGCCCATAATGGAGGTCTGGATAGGTGGCTCGGTGGTTAAGAGCACTTCCTGCTCTTGCAGAGAACCTGAGTTTGATTAGCAGCACCCATAACTAAAGTTCCAGGGGATCCAACATCCTCTTCTGGCCTCCTCAGGTTCTTTGCTCATGGACACATACACAATACAGACAGAAACATATACATATAAATATAATTTAATTTTAAAAACCCACCCATAATGGTCATGAGAGCCCACAAAAGCTATCTTCTATAAACAACGCAAACCAAATGATTAGACTGCTGACCAAACAATCTGTCAGAACTCCATCAGAATACAGAATACAAATACTCTGTCAGAAGTATTAACCACACTTCTAATGTCTTAGACTTGTCCTTTCACACTCTCCTACAGGCCTGTTAGCGCCTAGTACAAAAACGATGACAATGTCAAATGGTTGGATATGCCTGATTTAAAGTACAATGGATGATGTGTCTAAGTTCTCTGCAAATGCAATGCCATTCTACCTAAAGGATTTGAGTTTTGACTGTTTGGGAATTCCTGGAACCAGTCCTCTGAGCAGCAGAGGTGGGGCTGTGCTGTCGACG